TGTTATGGCTGAATTGTGTCCCCGCAAAATTTGTATGTTGAAGCTCTAATGCCCAGTACCTTAGAATGGCTAGACAGTCGACCCTTGAACAACATGGGTCTGAACTGTGCAGGTCCATTTATATATGGTTTTTTTTCCCCAATAAATATATTGGAAAATTTTGGGGGGATTTGAGACAATTTGGAAAAAAAAAGCACTTTCTAGTCTCTAGCATCCTTTATTGTAGGAATACAAAATATATTACATATACACAATATGTGTTAATTGACCATATTATCAGTAAGGCTCCGGTCAACAGCGAGCTATTAGTAAAGTCTGAGGGGAGTCAAAAGTTATATGTGGATTTTCTGCTGTATTGGTGTCAGCCCCCAACTCCCATATATTCAGAGGTCCACTGTACTTCAAATAGGGCCTTTAAAGAGGCGATTAAGTTAAAACCAGGCCATGAGAGTGGGCCCGATGCAATCCAACTGATAACATTTTAGGAGGAGGAAATTTGGAGATACCACGAAGACACTAGGGGGAGACCATGTGAGGGTACAGCCAGAAGGCGGCCATCTGCCCTCCAATAGGTTTTTTTAAAAGAAAGTCACACTTTAACATATCTTTTAAATGTAGCAAAATGTGAAAAAGCTGGTGAGAGAGGCCGCTGGAGAAACCAAATTTGGGATACCTGGATCCTCCGGAAATACATGTCTGTTGCCCCAGCCACCCTGTTACTTTGAAGATCTAGCCAACTCTTACTACAGGCCTTCAGATACCAGCAGGGCAAGTACCTTGATTTGGTGAATCCTACCAACAGAAATGACATTTCTTGAAGCCCATTCATTTTCACCAAATCCCCCTGCAGCCAGGACATGTGGGTGTGCAGGTGAGCGGTGGCGAGCAGCAGCCTGGGATGGAGAGCACAGGGGTGTGTGGCTGGGCTCAAGGGCTGGGGGACGGCTTAGAGATAGATGACTACAACTGCTGCCCTCCAGAGAGCCGCTGGCAGGGAAAGAAAGATTAGGGCACTTCTGTTGTCTTTTTAACTCATCTGGAACTTGTTTCTGTGCTGCCTAGGTTGAATGAACAGGCGATTTGTCTGACGACCTAGTCCAGTTCAAATGCTTCCCAGTAGCCCTCCTTATATATCAAACGTCAAGCCTTTAACTCCAGTCAAGCAGCAACCCTCTTTTTCCTTCTTGCCCCTTCTAGCTCATCCATTTACAGCAGTTTAAGTCATACACATGCAAGACCTTTTCTGTGGGCTTTGCAAATAGCAATCTATCTGGCAAATGGAGAGGTTCTAACCTGCCCTGGGATCTCACCCAGGCCACTTCAGCTGTGATGTGACCGAAGCCTTGCAGCATGATGGCTGCAGAGTTCTACCAAACCCCCTAATGGAAGCCAGTCTGATGTTCCCAGACCTACATGTTCCAAAACCCACATGCTCAATTGGCTCAAATTGGTGCTTGTATTTGATGCTTTCCACAGAAATGCCAGAAACAGAAGAGAGATGTTTTAAAACAATTCATAAAATTGGCAACTACATTGCAAGAACATAGTTGTTTTGTCCTGAGCAGTTTGCACAGTTTAGGCAGTCTCTGTGGCAGATGGTGAGCGAGCTCCGAGATGGTTCCCCAGAGGCCTCCATGAAGGCCAAAAGAGCACAGGATGGCAGGCCCTGAGCGGGCACCCAGCAGCCCCGGGGAATCTGCCAGAAGTCTCCAGTGAACTGTCGCCCCTGCAGCACAGCTGCTTCAAGTCCTCCCCACTCACCCCTGCCCTCCCGCCCTCAGATTTTACAGGGGAAGCAAGGTGTCAGAGGGGAGCCTTATTATTTTCTCAAAACAGAATTGTAGCCTTAGATCTGTTGTTATCTTTCTCTACCCCCCAGTGGAAGAGCCCTTCTTTCTCTCTCAGGCCGTGCCCTGAGTTTTAGAGCCATCTTCCCGCTTTGTCCCAGGTCCCTTAGGACGCCTGTTACTCCTTCCTGCTCGTATGAATCCCTCCCCTTTTTAAATGCACCTCAGGCTTTCCTGTTAAAAAGAAGCAAATAAACAATACCTTTATTTGATTCCTTACTCCTAGTTTCCTGCTGCCTCCTTTAGCCTAGACCCTCCACTGAGTCAGTTGACCAACAGATATTCCGGTTCTCATCTTATTTGACCTTTCAGCAGTTCTGGGTGGTCTTCCTTCAGGAAACACCGACCTCCCGCGGCCTCTGGGACACAGCTCCCCTTCCCTTCTCCCCTCCCACCCTCCCCCACCACCGCCTGGCCGCTCCAGGAGGAGGGGTTGCCAGGGAAAATGCGTCTCACCCTCTGGACTCTGCGAGGCTTTGCATCCTCCGCGGAGGCAGAATGGTGGTGACTTCTAAACGCGCGATCTCCTGCCCAGCGTCTTGCCCGAGCCCCGGGCGGGTGTGCCCCACCCTTTCCATCCTGTCTGTTTCTCATGAAGTCCAGGGGCACCTCATCAAATCGAGCGTGTAGAGCCCCAGTCCTGGCCCTCATCCAGGCCTCCCTGGGCTGCGAACTGCACCAGCACCCGTCCAGGTGCCCCCGGCAGAAATCTCGGTGCGGCTCCGCCCAGTCTCCTCCCGCAGCCAGCGCACCCAGGCCGCCGACAGATCCCACGGGGCTTCACCTCGTACATTTGTCTCAGATGTGCCCCTGCCCTCCTGGTCCAAAATACCATCCCCTCTTGCCCGGACAATTGCAGCAGGTCCCCGCGCATCTGTCCTGGCCCCTCGGTGGTTCCCACGCCGCCAGACTCATCTTCTGTTGCAGCGCCCATCCGATCGCGGCAGCCTCTTGATTAACGACGCCTCTGCGTCGCCCTCAGGATCAGGACCGAGAACCCCAGCATGGCCTCTGCAGCCGCGCTGGCCTCCTTTCCCTTCGGGCATCTGGGCAAGCGCTTCTGTGTGTCTCCGTATGTTCCTCCGTCTCTTCCCCTCCGAGCTCCGCGCAGTCACGTGCTCAGGACCGAGTTCCCTGGACAATGTCACGTTCCTGTCACGTCCCAGGTTCCTCCGTGACCATGTCCGACTCCATCACAGGCACAGGGAGCCCTCTGGGATGCCTTCAGCTTCTCTCAGGTGCCTCTTCACCTTTGTTGGGAAGCTGTTTGGATCCTGCCTGTCTTCCCACGGACTGTGAGATTCCTGACGCAGGGACCATGCCTGGCTCTCTCGGCGCTGGATTCCCGGAGCCCAGCAGAGAGACTTGGCAGGTTTCAGTTGGACAAGTAAGCGAGTTAGAAGAACAGCGTTTCCGTTCCAACTTGGGACATCTATTCTCTGGATCCGTTTTCTCATTAAATGGAGCTACATTTGTCTTACCCATCTTTCAGGATTCTTAGGAGGCACACAGTGTATCGCACAAATGATAATGGCTGTTTTGAAGATTATCCTCTCTCGTTTTAAGGTTGAAGTTCATGTGGCTGACAGCGGCAGTGAGCCTAAGCCAACTAGTACCATCATTTTCCTCTCTTCTAGGAGAGCAGCTGGGAATGGGGAATACAGAAATGAGAATCTCATCACAAAATCTTGTTTAGTTTTTTCATTATGAGAATTCTTTGGGGCTCCTTGAAGGCCATTTGGGGAAGGCAGGAAGGCAGAAGACAAGAAATCACCCACTTTTCCTTTACCCTTCCAAACACATTTTCCCACATTCTTAAATATTCAAGAAGAACATCATTTTTAATGCCTGCATGGTAATGTGTACTGTTTTATTTATTTTACATTATTGTAAAACTGCTGTGATTAGCGTTCATTGTACATAAATCATTGTGTGCATAAATGTGTAATTTCCCAAAGTTGAATTACTGGATGAAAGAATTTGTGTAGGAACACTTTTAGGCTTTAGATAATTATTCCTTAATTATTCTCTGAAATAAAATAATAAATAGAACTGAAATGTACCAGTTGATACAGCCACCAATAGAGTAAGAGATGCCTGTTTCCGTGCACCATTACCAACTCTGGGAATTATAAAACACAAATACATATGTACACCAGGCATATCTAAATGTAGATTCAAGGCTGGAAATGGAATTTGACTAAATTTATAGTTATAGTATAAATTATTCTAAATTTGAACATTTTCCCATTAGCTGTTGGGTTTTACATTATTTGGGGGTGTTCTCTTTTTTGTACTTAATTATAAAACCCTCTTTTATATTAAGCTCACTAGCCTTGTTTCTGTCATACATGCCAATATATGAGCTTCAGGAGAACCCTCTTCTAATGACTACAAGTTCAATGGAAGTTTAAATAAAAGCATGTCTGAAATGGGGTAATGTGGTTAACTTACGCTTTATTAGTAAGGGCAGCTGGTTTCTGTTTTGTTTGTGTGTTTGTTTTTTAATCTTGCCACTCAAACTGCGTGCTAAGGGGGCATGTGCGTGACGAGTCTGGACTTGGCAGGTGGGTGGGCCTGACTTCAGTCCTCGCTCTGCCTCTGCTGCTGAGAGACCTGGACAAATACTGAGCCAGCAAAGGTCTTGGCTTTCTCTCCTGGGTAACAGGAATCCTTCTAGCCTTGTTTTAAGAAGTAAATAGTTTATGGATAGTGCCTGTTGCAGAGGTGGTATTTTATAAATACTTATTCCCTTTCCACTGCCCTCAGAGATGTGCTGTTCTGCACACACAGACACGTGCATTTTGTTTCATTAATGAGCATGCGTGTTTCACTCAGCTTATAGCCTGACATACAGTCTGAGAATAGCTGCGAATAGCTGACTGTGATAAAAGTATAAATAAAAGGGGAAACATTCTTAGAAAACCATATGAGTCTAGGGGAGATTTTGATTTCAAAGCTCAGGGATAATATTAGCAAATTTGGGTCTGTTCTGTAAAAGTGGTGGACGATATAAGATGGCATTCTGGAGAAAAAAAGAGTAGACACCCTCAAATATGCAAAAATACTTTGATTTTAAACAGCTCCAAGTGAAGTCTCGAAATATACTCCTTTGAGAATTTATGTCTCAGTCTCTTCTTTTTTCCTTTGTAGGTGTGGCTGGATCTCTTAAAACCTATTGTCAAGCAGATTAGAAGTGAGTATATACTATGTGTGTAACAGTGATGTTAACTGTAAAGCCAGACATTTTCCTTGTCTAGATCATCATTTGCCCTGTGGCATCAAGCATTAGTGACAGACAGGTTTTTTTTTTTTACCTGTGAATCCTTTTCATCATCCACTAATCCACATACTATTAAAATGTATCTTCTGCAATTTTAATATATAACCACTTGGTAAATAAAACCTTACTAGGAAGATCAGATATTGTTTTGATTAACAAGTAAAGCATGCTGTTAAGCCCCAGGATTATTGAGCTTGGCTTGTCTAGGCCCATGTTTCTTATTGTCCCTTTTGAAACGGGAAGGTGGAGCCATTTATTCATAANGTGTGTGTGTGTGTGTGTGTGTGTGTGTGTGTGTGTGTGTGTGTCTGAATGGCAAGCAGAATTGAAGGGAGTCTGGTTTGCATTTAGGCCATGTATTGGAGAAAGATCTAGGAGAGAAGTAAGGAAAGAGAGCATTTGCTTTTTCTCTCCCTTCTTATATGCCTCTGCTCTGGCCCATTCTCCGCTCTTTCTGCTTTGAGATTAAGTTCAGAGTCAAACTGTGTTCTCAGCCTTCCCAAATGGTCCCTCCCTGCAGCCAGAGACGGGGCAAAAGTTTGAGGAACTATGTTCCCTTAAGTTTGACATGAAACACACAATACCTGCTGCGATTGTTTTTATGTCTGGTTAAGAAAAAAAACCCCAGGCCGCTTCCAGCAGTTTATGTGGATGTAATAAAAAAAGCACACAGGGTCTGTATGGCCCTTATGTAATTGAAATTGATATTGCTCTTCTGTCATTTAAATTGATCAATTATCAATGCTGAAGCAGCCATTGTTTGTTTAACATTTACTGGATGGCTGACCAGCTCCTAAGTGATAGGGGAACAGGTTGCTGAGAGAAGCCCCAGGCCTAATGGGTGGAGGTAGCATAGTCCAGACTGAGGGCTTTTGTCCCTGCAATAACTCATGATGGAGTCTGCTGGTGCGGGAATGTACCTTTTACCACATTACCAAATGCAGACTAAAGACAGCATCTGTTGTTTTTGGGCAACAGTGGTGGCGGAGTGGGTGCGAGGGGCTTCTCCTGTTCATCCCGGTGGGCTGTCACTGGCCCTAGGTGACAAAGCTGTCATTTTGCATTTAGTGCTAGCATCTTCCAGCTTCAGGTGTTTTGAGGATCTGAATAACCTCACTGAATTCCCTGCCTGTGACCGATGTGGAGAGGGAATAGTGCATCTTTCTTGGCTTCCCCATTTTGTTACTGTTATTTCATGATCCCTAATTGACAAGTGAGGGTTTCTGTTAATGTTTTGAGTGATTAGGGAAAAGGAGCCCAGCTTCTCTGGCCCCAGTATTCTGTGCCCTGTCTTCCCCTCCTAATTATGTATATATATTGCCATCATTTTCAACTTACGAAACAGCATGTTTAGATTTTTCTAAACTTGAATGTGTGATCATAGAAATTATAATACAACATCAGTTTTTTGTGATATTGAAAGGTAGGAGAAAAAGACATGTTCTGCTTTTATACAGACAGCTGTTGTTAAAATTTGGATTGCATTGTAGTGCCTTACATTTCATAGAATATAAACTCATTGCTGTTATTGCAAGTGGCAGAACCTGTAAGAGGCTCTTATGTTTAGCTTATACATCAAAACAAAGTCCAACTCAGGTTACAAATTATTATTTTATAATCTATTTGAAATTCTGTTCTATTTTTTCCCCCATTAGTGCCATGAGGTCTATAGCTCTTTTATTTACAGTTGTAATCCTCAATGTTCTGGTTCAATTCTGAAAAGATATTCATCTCATTCTCAGTCTCCCCGTGCACTCCCTCCCAGATCTCCCTCTAGACTGTGTCTGAACGCATCAATGAGCTTTTAGACGTGTAGAAAGGCTTTGGCTGACCGTGACGGGGCAGGGCCACCTCTTGTTTATGGTTTCTCTCCAGAGCTTAGGAGAGCACCTGGCAGATAGGTGCAAGATACATATTTGATGAACACGTTGGCAGCTGGAGCCTGTAGATAGGTAAACATAATAAATTACATAAATTTCATAATTATTTCAAGCCTGTATTTGGACTGAAGCAGCCAAATAGGGACATTTTTTAAGACAAATACCTGTTTTTTAAAAACCTGGGTACAATTTTAAGTGTCCAAAGGAAAAGTTGAATACCTCAGTGTAATTAATACCCTTGTCACATTACTTTCTTAAAACAGGTATCTGTCTCCCTGCAGTCTGTAAACATGAACTAGTAAGTGAATTTACCCAGTTATTAGGTGACTTGGGCGTTAGTATATGTACTCCAGGCAGCTTGGAATGAGAGTCATTATTTGGTGTGTAATAGACCCTCTAAAGTCTTTTTCTTTAATTGCATTTGAAATTAAATTGCATTTTTCTTTAATTGCATTTAAATCAATAAACACTTTACTGCTTTTGTGTCCCCCACCCCCACCTTTTAGGGCCAAAGCACGTTGTTGTTAAGTTTGTGGTGAAATTCTTTCCACCTGACCACACACAACTCCAAGAAGAACTCACAAGGTTAGTGGTTCGGACATGGTGTTTATTGCTGAATGGTGCTGAGGAGAAGAGGTTAATGTTCTAAGTTGGCTGAGTAAACATTTTCCCAGCATGTATTCACCTGGTCTCTGCCCTGTGCCTGACAGTTTAACCCCTGCTCTGTTGTGCTCACAGACATGGGGGGAAGACATGTTTTCCCTGAAACCTGGTTTCTCAAAAGCTGTGCTATGCAGTCAACTGGAGTTATTACCTGTTCCTGTCATGTTTTCTCTTATATTTATCAATCACAAGACAGTTTTAGGATGTGACTCTCCTCTGTGAAGCCAAGATGTTAACTCAGAGCTTCTCTTTGCTGCTGCCATGGGTGGGCAGACACAAACTGTGGATTGTTTCTCTGAAAATGTGGCCAAGTGGGAGGGGCATGAGCGCTGGGTCGGACCTACCCTTGGTAGCTGTGGGACCGGCCGGTTCTTGCTCCCTGTGGGCCTCTGTCCATGTGAATGCAACACATCGTTGGCCAGGGGTTGTCCTGAGGGTTAAGCACCATTGTACATATTGTGGCTGGAACCCACCAGGTAGGGATGCTGTGAATGGTAACTGTCACCATCATCAACATCATTGTCCCTACTCAGTTTATGATTTGCAGCAAGACACACAGTATTCTAGAAGAGATTAGAGACTGGGGGAGCACAGGAAGATGAAATGCCTCCCTTTCAACGTTCCCTCATAGGACCCTGGTCGGACCAGCCAGATTCCTGCCACACATGCCTCTCAAGCTATAGTAGCTGTTTAAGACCAAGGCTCTGACATTTTTCTCCTCCTCTCGGTACGGGGTACAGTGTCTTGGGGGCTTGACCATCATTATCAAAGGAATGACATTCAGTCAGCAGTGTACACTGTGTACAAGCATTGTTCTGGGCCCTGGGAATATAGTGGTGAAAAGAGAAGCTGGACTCTCCTGGGAACAGACTAAATGATTAAGGAAACAAGAACAATATCAGATAATGGTAAGCGCTCCTTAGGTACCTGAGGTAGAATGAGCTGATAGAAGGTGCCGGGTAACCATGCCATTGTGGTTGGTCTGGACTGCTGCTGTCAGGAGGTTATGAGGATCTGTCAGTCATCTTTGGAGGTAGAGCTTTCCAGTTAGAAGGAACAGTTAGGCAGTGCCCGAGGCAGGAACCAGCTCCAGGTGTTCAAATACCTAAACGAAGGCCAGCCTGGGGAATGTTGAGGATGACGTGCAGTGAGGTGGGACAGAGGTCCGGTGTGTGTGGTGTGGGTGCCAGTGGAGGGTGGCAGCAGAGAATCCAGGGAAGGAGCCAGTGCTGTGGCCCAGGCCAGTGACACAGCGAAGGAGGCAGCAGGAACAGAAATGGAGAGGTGCCAGAGATGGGGTCTCTTGGTCCTGGTGATGGCTGGGGCTGGGGACTGAGGGAAGAAGAGGGGGACTTAGACTGTGACGTGAGCAACTGGACAGGTGGTGCTGGTGATAAGTCCACGGGGAAGGAGAGGTTTGAGGCGGGGCAGAGAGTCACGAGTTCGGTTCTGCCAGGCCACATGTGAGATGCCTTCTAGACACCCGTGGCTGCGTCAGGAAGGGCACTGGGTCCACAGATCTGGAGTTCCAGGAAAGGCTGAAGGTGAAGACTCTTCCCATGGCTTTATGTTTTATGAATGAGCTGCCACTAATTGTTTACCTCCACTGACACAGTCAAGTGGCCAGGAATTGCAGAAGCCCCAGCCTTCCAGGAACTACGTGAAGTTTGCTAGAACATTCCACTCAGAGGAGAGGCAGCTGGGGCCACAGTGCTGAGTTGCACAGTGGAGTCTCACGCAGTGTCTTGACCGAGGCTACTGCATCTCGGTTTCCTGGGCTGATTTTCCCCTGATGGAACGCTATTTGCTCAAAGCTCAGAATATTGGAATAAATCTAAAGGTGAGTCCAGCTGTGGGTGAGCAGCACACCTTTTCCGCCTGCGCCTCACTGGGCGTCTGTTCTGCGTAGGAAGTTGGCGGCGTAATCCTCCTTTTCCCTCCCCATCTACTTTGTGACGGGTTGTGCCTTTTCAGTTTTTGTGAATTGCTGTCTCAAGGGTGCGTAGTTTTCTAGCTTTCTGGTCCTTGTTCTAAAATGCCGTGCAGCTGGTCCCCATCAAGCCAAGCAGGCTTGGTATTTTGCCAGCTGCTCTGTCCAATCTGATAAATTCCTCAAGTTACAGGAGCTCAGCTGGATGAGGCAGGTTGGGGTTTTTTGTCGTCTTTGTTTTCTGGCTCCCAGTGTTAACTGACATTTTAAAAATCCTTTCTGAGGAGAGACTTTATTTGGCTCAGGGATGAATAAAACTAATGTGAAATTTAGAAGTTTCTCCATTGCTTTCCATTTTGTCACAAGGTGTAACGTGAAGGGGGCCTCCCCGGGTCCAGGGTATCCCCCAGCACTCCTCCTTCCTGTATGAGCCGAAAGGTAATGGGGTGACCACTGATCGTGCAGGCGCCTTTCTGTAGCACAGGGCAGGTAAGGGAGGGTTGGGAGCAGCTCGGTGTGGACGGAGCTTCAGGCGGCAGACGTGTGGATAGGAGCAAGCCTGGCAGAAGCAGGCCTGCAGCCTGGAAGCGCCTGTGGCTCCAGGAATAGCTCTCAGCCCCCAGTCACAGAGATAGAAGGTGAAGTTGCACTTCACTGTTAAACAGGAAGCTGAATTCCTTTCTATTTGTTAGTCTGCACTAGTGGTCAAACTCTGTCCTGTTGCCACCATGGCCCAGGCTTCTAGAAGGAGAAAAGTACGGGTTCTTAGGTGCAGGGGTTAAACAGGGAGCGGTTTGGTTTTCTTATTGCCGAGCTCTGAGTTACTTCTGGTGCCCGTGAGTTCTGGCACTCCTCTCTGCACAGCCTCTCTTCCGTGGGATACAGCTCCTACCTGCCTGAGTCCTTCGTGTAGCTGTAGAGGGAAGGGCCCTGTCAGCCCCTGCAGGGGTGCGAGGCCTGCAGAAGTGTTCCCTGTAGGTTGGCAGAGAAATTGTCAGTTACTTTACATTGAAGAAGGAGAGAAAGATTAAGGCACACCCCACCTCCACCCCACCTCGCCAATGAAATGCATTAACATAGAGGTTAGAGGACACTTGCAAGTCTGGCCTCCCTGGGGGCAAAAGGCCTCGTTGTGCCGCCATCACCACCGCCTTCTCTAAGAGCCCACCCTTGCCGGCAAGGAGAGTGGATTCCATTTTGAGCACTTTGTGTTTTCATTGTGTTTCACAGCTGCGTTTTATTTAGGTTTTTTTTTGCTGAGTATGACTTGGCCTTTAGCTCTTGTGAGTTCGGTTGGCATTGCTTCAGTTCATAGCGTGAAAACGTGTAGCTGAAGCTCTAGAGATAGCATTTTAGCCATTGTGTTCGACTGGCAGCTGTCATTAAGAGAAGTCAACACAGTCTGCACCCAGGAAGGTTGGTCCCTATTTCAAGAGCCTCAGAACAGGAAGCGTCCGCATAATTTGGGGCTGTCAGGTTCTCCCTACATCTTCAGAATGGCACCCGCCCTCCGTGAGAGCCCAGTGCGATCTCACGGACCCCCGGAGACCCTTGCCGCAGGCCCCGCACTTGCCCAGCTCTGGCCATGGCTCTGTCCCTGAACACATCTCTGTGAACCCAGGTCCCAGTTTTGAACTGGTTAATGGTAAGATATTTGGAATGTGATGTTTTTAAAGTGTAATTTTAGTTAAAAAGTAACCACAGAGATAAGAATTTAAAGCCTGTAGCTCTAAGTGTTGGTCTTAAAAGACAGTAATCACTACCTACTCTAAAAAGATGGTTTGTACTGCCTCTTCCCATAGAAACCTGTATGTAGATGTTTTGGTCATTTTTTATTCTCTGCTTTTCTTCCCTTTGACTTTTGAGAGAGAAAAAACGAGAACAAGACTGAGCATCAGGGAGATTGGTTTAGGGGTCAACTGATGGATCTGTGGGTGTTTTTTGTTTTGGGCTTTTCGGTTTTTTGTTTTGCTGATTGCCCCTGTAGTTTTTTAGTTATTAATAGAACTTCCTAAATGATTTAAAGGAGATTAGTTTTTCTTTTATAAAAAAGAAAAATTGCTAACATTACAGAATGTCACTGAGCTATCCATGTATTATATTTAATTGTTAGGGAAATAACCTGTGGTTGGTCTTGTTAAAAGCTTTTTTAAGTTAAAAATAACGTTTGGTTATTACAAAAATAGTAAGTGGGCAGTATAGAAAGTTGGAATATACAGATAAACAAGAGTACGTGTTAAAAATACTGTCCTGTTGTTCAGAAATTACCATTGTTAACACATCAATGTGATATCCTTTCTATTTTTCTTCTATTCTTCTATGCATATATATGTACTTCTCATCTCATCTAATACCCTGGCCGCAGTTTCCTAATTCGTCCCCCTAAGGTCACCTGTATCTGCTCATCTAAAATGAGATTCACTGTAGACCACATACTTCATCTGGTCATTGTGTCCCTTGGACTGCTTTTAATGTAGTAGAATCCCTTCTAGTATTTTTTTTCTTCATACCATCTTGAAAAAACTGGACCAGTTGTACTATAAAATACCCTTCCTTCCAAGCTTGTCTGATTCCTTCCTGCGGTACTTACTGTTCAGCTTATTCCTCTATCCTCTGTATTTCCTGAAAACTGGAATGTAGTTCTAAAGGCTTGACAGATACAAGTTAAACATTTTTGACTAGAATTCATCGTGATGTGTGTGCCTATCTCCTGAATGATGCTGAGATCGACCATTGAATTATGGTGGTGACATTCTGATGTTTTCATTGTGGAGTCAAATCTTGTTACTTTGTCTCTATGCAAATGTCCAATCTCCTAAATGACTTTTACACAAATTAACCATTCTTACCAGAGTCAATATTTTCCTTAGAGGTTGGGAATGAGGATTTCTTTTCCAATTCTATTTTTCCTATATTATTAGTTGGCATTCTTCTACAGAACTTTGGGTCATCTACTTGGAATATTTGTATACCCTGAAATGCCCTTCCTACTGGAGAGGCAGCTTACACGCTCAATTTTTTGCTTTGGGTTACTATTTTTCTAATGAAGAATTACTTTAATAGCATCCTTGAATGGTGATACTTTCAGTCTTTCCTGTTTTCCCTTATTTTGGAGTATTGTAATGAACCCATGAATTTTCATTAATTCATGTGCTTCAGTTCACTTTAATTGTTCTGGTTGCTACTCAGGTGGTCACAACTTTGGCAAGTGGATGTCCCTTCACGATGTTTCTTTTGCCTTATTAATACATTTGTACATTATTACATTCTTGCTGTATTTATTAATACAAACATACATTGTTACAATTATAACTGAAAGCTTTCTGGTATCACAAGATATTCCAGGCTTACTTTGTACCTTTCCCTACCCAACACCTGGAGTCTAGCACTTCTCTAAGGACCTACATCTGTGTCCTTGCAGTGGGAATTGTATGAGAGTCAGAATCTGGTTGCTAAGGATTGTTACTGAGACGACACTGCTTCTAGGCAGGGGGCAACGCTCACACATACCTTCCTAAGAATTTATGAGTTCAGGTGACATTTTCTAATTAATGTCCCCATTGCACTGTAACTTAATTTCTTTGACGTATAAATACTTCTTTTTTCTTTCACAAAAGTGTTTACTTGCTTTGTTCTGCAACATAATGAAAAGAATTTAAAAATGACAAATTGATTTTTACAGATCTGGTAACTGAGGCTTTTGGAAGAAGCTAAGTGACTATTACACCACAAAAAAAGACACTCTTGTCTTTCCAATTCCTTTGGCAAAGCTTTTCCTAACCAGAATAAACTACTGTTATTGACTGAGCCATAAAGCCATTTTTTAGTATATCTGACTGTTCGGCGAGAAAATTTTAAATGTTTGCTACACCCTACAAAACTATATAGGGTGGTAAGTTATAATCTTAGGCTTTTATGGCTGGGTGTCTCCCTATAAAATCTAATGTGTTACTCGTTGTGTGAAAAGATTACAGCATGTCTCCTGGTCCTCTCAGGGAGGTGTGAATATTTGCATTGCAGTCAGTAACATGAGCAATTCATTCCAGCCTGGCCAGGCTTTCTGTTCCTTGGTTTATACACCTTTCTTTAGATCCTTGCAGCATGGACAGGCTGCCGGGAGTGAGCCTGACTTTGACGCGGAAGCTCCCCGCCATGCCCGCGTGACGCCTGTCTGCACATACGGCACCCATCTCTGTTTGTGTTCGCAGGTACCTGTTTGCTCTGCAGGTGAAGCAGGACCTGGCTCAAGGCCGGCTGATGTGTAATGACACCAGCGCTGCTCTCTTAATCTCACACATTGTTCAATGTAAGTTCTGTTGGTTTGCTTTAACTTGTGTCGGAAATAATACAGTGATCTGATGGATAAGGGGAAAAGCCGCATCCACTAAAAACAGTAGTAATGCCTTTGTGTTGTTTCACTGATGGGTGGAATGCCGATGGGTAGAAAACATTCCTAACTTTATGTACTATATGTATCCATCAAATATGAACCCATGAATTCTGTGTTCTGGTGTTTGTCTGTCATTTTCAAGGACTAGTGCCTTGAAAATTGTCACTACATCTGCTGACTCAAAGAAGGTTAGATGGATGGTGGCCAAGTAGACTAAGCTTGTTCTGTCCTGTTCTTGGATTTAATATTCATCATTGAATATGGCATATTAGCCTGAAGATGTAAAACTGTCCAAGATTTCATTTCTTGTATTCTGTTCTCTAGACTTCAATAAACCAAGACAGCATGCAGATGGACTGAATCATAGTGATGCTTGAAAGTAGATATTTTAACTTTCTTAATCCAGACAAGGGATACATTCAATTGTGTTCATTTGGCTTACAAACAACCCACCTGGGCATTTTTTTTTTTTTTTTGGTCTTGGCCAAGGCAGAATTACTTGAAATGGAGTGCAAACATGTTTCAGGAAGGTAATTATGTATATAGACAAAGGTCAGAATATATAAGCTCGAGTATAAAAAAAACCTGTGCTGTCATATCATTTAAAACTTTCCATCACATGTAGAGTCCATATAATCAGCCCCATCCCATTTGGGTAAGTGCCCAGTGAACAAGGTTTGCAAAAAGTGTCATCCTAGTAAGTGAAGAAATTACCTTAGTCTAATATGAAGAGGTGTTTCTATGGACCATGCTTATCTTCATATTTTTTGTATGTGGGCATTATTGAGTATCTACCAGACTTAGGAAATAATGTTAATGATTTTGCAGCAGCAGGAAGCTAGTGTGATTGATTCTTCCAGTGGCCCAACTGATGCCAGGTATGTTGGCACTGTTTTGTGCAGAGTGCAAATAATCTCAGTGCCATTTATAGCAACATATAGACCCTATCCTGCATGATTAATGGAGGCACATTGCCCAGAGTGTTGACAGGCTGCTTCACAGGACAAAGTGAAGGAAGGTTTCATAGCAACTGTTCACTTGCTTTTACTCAAAACAGCTGGCCTCTGGTCATTAGGCTACTGTTTATTAAGCTTGTTACATGGACTTCATGATACAAAGAAAAAGGCATGCTGTCCCAGAGCTATTAAAATGGTATAAACTGAGCTGGAGGTCGTGTGGTTAAGGTAAAATTATCATTTTAATGCCCTATCCTTTAGATTCAGATTATAGCAAAGCAGGGAGGGCCCTCCATTGAGATTACTTGAGAAAAATATGCATCCTGTTTCTTGTAAATGAAAAAATTTATAAGAATTTGCAATCTGAACGGTCATTTCTGACAGCAGTATACAAGAAATTTTATAAACATAATTTTTTTTTTACCAAATTGGATTATGTACCTTCATACCTATGTATAATTGTCTTTTCTCTACATCGTTAAGCATTTTGGGATTGGCACTATTAATTGTAATAGTTTCAAAAGTTTATTTGGTAAAGTCCTAAAATTCTGTAATTCTTATTTAGAAGTCATAAGGTCATAATCCACATACCTAGAATTTGCTGCTCAGAACAGAAGCAACCCCTAGTTCGGTGGGGAGTTAAAAAGCAAACCAGGAACATAGAGGCTAAGGATGGATGATCTGAAGTTATCTTTCCAACTGTTAGAGAGGAGAAAGAGTGGGAACCATCATCTTACGTGGCACGTTTGTTAACTATGTCCTTACGTCTGCATCTTCTGCCTTCTAGCCCTTGATTCCCACCAGCTGGGTGAGCCAGCTTCTGGTTTGCTAGCTGGGGAACAAGCCACTGGGAATATAACAACTTGTGAAGTATTAATAATGTGGTTGGTTTTTCTTTGTTTCTTTGTAGCCGAGATTGGGGATTTTGATGAAGCATCAGACAGAGAGCATTTAGCAAAAAATAAGTACATACCTCAGCAAGATGCACTAGAAGACAAAATCGTGGAATTTCACCATAACCACATGTAAGTTCTCATTGGTTGCTTCCCTTCATGCTTCCTTTGAGCTGTTTCGCTCTGTCCATCCAACATACATGGGTACACACACACCCACACTCATACACTCATTCAGTCACAGAGAAACTATTAGGAAGAGAAACAGAAAAGCTGAGGAAGAAAGCACAGAAGCTCTCGGGAGTGATGCACTCACTCTGGACTCTAAGAATTGCACGTTGCACACTCAAGACTGAGTTCTAGGCCCTTACTTGGTTTCCTGGGATACCGGAGTGGGCCTGAGATTTCAGGACAGCTATGCTTTGCAATAAAAGGCAGACTATAACACCAGTTGACAAATCAGAAAGGAGACATGATATACTAGGGAAAATGTAAGAATGTTTTGAAAATCTAGAACCTTTGTAGCATCTCTATTTGGGGTTATTTTTGTTCTTGTCTTTTTTTTTTTTTTTGACCACTTTCAAAGGATTCTCCACACCTGTTTTTGTTGTTATTTATAAGGAAGGTATTTGAGTCCCGGTCATAATATGAAAGTGTCACCTTGAACTTTGCTTGCAAATTGAGGCCTATTGTAAGTGACTGAACACTGTTTTAACATGGTGGTGTTGTGCTTGTCTATGACCTTAAAGGAAACTCTTTGAGAGTCCAAAACTGAGCAAGTGTGAGGTAGACTTTTGGGGTTTGTGTTACACCAGCAAAAGAGCTTTTGTCCCAGCTGCTCGACTTTTGGTTATAATGAATGGGAGGCTGGGGGTCATCTGATGGGGTAGTTCCATTGTTTGTGATGAAATGCCTTTTTATTTCCCAAGAGAAGCTGATTAATCTCAAACTAATAGACACAGGGAATTCAAATCTCCTGGCCTTTCTCCTCCATTTTTGTTTTGTCAGTGGACAAACACCAGCAGAATCAGATTTCCAACTCCTGGAGATCGCCCGTAGGCTGGAGATGTACGGGATCCGGTTGCACCCGGCTAAGGACAGGGAGGGCACTAAGATCAACCTGGCTGTGGCCAACACGGGGATTCTCGTGTTTCAGGTAAGAGCATTTAGGATACAGCTCGGTTCCCTTGGTGATGGAGGGATCAATTTCCGAGTTGGGTGGGCCAAGGGGAGACCTCCGATGGTGAACATTAAAATGAGGGGAAAACTAACCTCATTTCAGGGCCGCTCTTTCTTTGCAGGCCTTCCACTTTCGATTCTATTTCATTCAGCCTTGCTGTGGCTGGGGATCCACAGTTACAGATTTGTTTGTGTTTACTGACTACGTAGGATTACAGTTTCTGTGTCTTTCAGGGGACCTATGCTTTTACAACACAGTATAATGGAATTGTGATTTCAGACCCCAAAATAAACCCTGTCTTCACACTTGAATGTGATATTCGTGTCATCCTGGTTTTGTTGTTGTTGTTGTTGTTGTTTTTACCTATGTCAAGTTTTTTGGTGGTGGGTGTCTTTTTTTCCTAATTTGGGTTTCTTGTTTAAACCTAATTTAGGTTTTACCTAAGTCAGCTTATTTGTGACTTAAGGTATATATAGAACTTAAAAAGAAAAGTATAATGAGTACTTTTAAGATATAATAGTTTCATATATTCATAAAAGCCACGTAGCAGTAATTTTGTAGCAAAACATACATACGCTTAAATTGTTACCTGTGTTTGACTTAAGAACATCACGATTTTCAGCATTCTCTTGATCACACTGTTACTGTACTGTTTTATTGATCAGTGATGGTTCCTTAAAAGCTTCACTGCAATATTATTGACATTCAATAAAAGGCACATATTTAAAGTGTGTGCTTTGATTAAGTTCTTATGTGTGTATATCCTGTGAATTCATCAATGAAGTCAAGACAGTGAACATATTCACCACCCAAAGTTTCCTCTGTGCTTTTCTTTTAAACAAAAGTTAGTTATCTATGCTTTGGTTTCTCATGGGTTTGGAGAAAGTGTCTGCCTTTTTTCCTGAAATAGGGTCACATTTCACCCGGCTTTGGGTAAGTATGTACATGACCTGAAACCCTTTATAGCCAGGTTTGGTTACATTTCCCCCTTCATATTTTACCAAAGTAATCCAAGTAATTCTCTGTTCCTGTATCAGATGTTTGCGATGGACACTAATTATCACAGAATCATGTCCCAAGAGGAGTTGAAGTAAGCTTGCAGATGGGATATCAGGAACCGATGTTTGAAAGCAGTGGGTATAAGCAGGTTACTGCTAACAGCTTTTGACCTGCAAAAATAATGTAGGAGCATCTGATGAGAAAAACCATAGTAAACCAAATGCAATTTTCAGTACTACTGTTAAATTTTAATCAAACCCCTTAAAGATTTCTAAAAATCAGAGAGAGGAAAAGAAATGCCTCACAATTGAATTAATTTGCTTTGATTATGTTTGATACAATCTAAATATTGAGAATTGCTTGGTAATTTAATCATGTACAAAGGCTGTATCTTGGAATTAATCTTCTTGCCAGTACCTAATTGCTTCATTCTTACCAATTTAAATGAATGGCTCTGGTATGCAGGGACTCAAGAAGCATTCTGATTTCAGCTGAGATGACAGGACAGATGGCAGCTGGTATCTGGTAACTCCCCATTTTTTCTCCAACACCTGCCTGACTATAAGGGATGAGGATGTGTGAATCCCTCCTGGAGACCATTCTTCGGCCCAGAGGATACCCTGCAAGCCCAGCCTCCCCTCCCCATCCTGTTGGAAACCTGATGGGCACAGGAGCCAGACAGGTGTGAACGCTGGACTTTGACTGCTGACCTGCTGTGTTGATTCTGTGGATATGAACAATAGCTGCTGGCTAAGGCACATGCTGTAGAATCTCATTCTGCCACATGAACTGTGATTTTGGACAAATTAAAATATATTCATGCTGTAGTTTCACATGTGTTACATGAAGATAATAAATCCATCTCACTGGGTTTTATATAAGGTTTGATAAGATAAGGTTTGTAAAGTCCTTGGGACAGTACCTGGAATTCTCTAAGTGATGGTTGGTAATAATTGTGGTGGTTGTCATGGTTTTTATTTTTATGTATCTTCCTTTCTATCATTTCCTTGGCCAGCCTCTTCTGTCCCTGAAGGCAGACTTACTTTGAATGCCAAATCATCTAATTAGTGAAAAATAATGATTCAGGAGCAAGAATCACCCCACAACCACAGATCCTGTGAATTCTCAGCAGAAGGCATTTTTACCAAGCAGTCAAAAAATCAGTGCTCGCTCCAGCTCCTCAAAGCAAAGTAAACCGACTCCCATGTTGCTTATTATGCATTTCCTCGCTCACCGGCTCATACCTTTCTTTTTAGGGTTTCACTAAGATCAATGCCTTCAACTGGGCGAAGGTACGGAAGCTGAGCTTCAAGAGGAAGCGCTTTCTCATCAAGCTCCGCCCAGATGCCAATGTAAGTGGCTCACAGGAGCCAAGGGATAGCGGCTGAGAAGCCCTGGGATTCCTGGGCTTGGGGGACCATTCTAGGGCACAGGCCGAAACTATGGCCAGCAGCTGCTCAGTGTGTGAGTGTCTGCATGGAGAGAGGCATCTGAATGCTCAGTAACAAAAGCTGTCATCTCCGTAGACAGCAAAGAACATCAGCCCAATGTCTGGCTGGGGAGATGGTGATTCACCTGTGCAGACACAGGCAGCCCCTCCCAACAGACAACCTGAGCTTTGCAGTTGCCACATCTCCAGCCTCTGGGCTACCTTGAGACCCCATTTGACACTGTGCTGCATTCCAGGCATGCTCCTGCCTAGACAGCCAACAGTCTTCAGCCCTCAAGTCCCTGCTCTTGACCCCAAACCTCTGACAGTACATTCTCACAAGCTAAGCAGGTCCTCCCTGCTTCCTGCAGAACCCAAAAGATGTCATTTACATTGGGACTGGGTCAAGGAAGAAAGAGCAGCATTTTCTTCATCTGCTGGAAATGGCAATGGGAGAGGTGGATGAGAAATCCCTGGTGTCTCCAACCAGAACTTGGAGTGTTTTTTCCCATGGAAAAAAAAGATTATAAATGGCAGTCTAGGCTTGCAGTTGAGCTACGGTATGGATTAAATAGGCTTTTATGACCTGACCTGGGAAGCAGGCACCCATTATAAATTGCTTGCTATGGGAAAATACTCTTTTGAGTTCCAGAAGGCTAGCTTAGAAATGAAGAATTGCTGCACAGCTTGTTTTAAGTGGGTAATGCCTGGAACTGTAGGATCCCCAAAATAGTGGGTGCTGCTGGGAATGTTAAGGACTGTGGTTACTTTTGTTTACATAGTATGGCCACTTAAGTTGGGAGCCTTCAGTCTGGAAATAGAAAAGTATAATATCCCCTTCCCAGAATCAAGGGACATAAATATTTCAGCCTTCAGTAACGCTTTTATGCTCACCAAAAATGTTCATTTCCTGTATGGCTCAGGGGGCATCTGGAAGCTTGAGTCATATACTTTTGATAGAAAAAAGACTTAAGACCAATATTCAAAGTGGACTGTGAAGGAGAAAACAGAAAGAAGAATTGTTTCAGTTATTTTAAGGAGGCAAAAAAGGAATTTCAGTACTTAGATTTTTTTGTTGTTGTTTTTTAAGAAGGAAATGGAAGCCAAGTAAACACAATTTGCTTTACAAAGTCTGTCAAAAGAAATGTACTGACTTCTGCGGAATACCTGTTTTCTGTTAGTTCCTTTAAAGAATTCTGGGGGGAGAAAATGATTAAATTGACTATATTTTGTCATTAGGAATAACTATATTTTACTCAGTATGTGAATTCATAGTCAGTCATGCTATAATAAAATATACAGCTGAAATTTATTGAACAAATTTCTTTTCTGTCGCTTTTCTCATTTTTCAACCCACCTGTAGTAATAAAAACCAAAGTGATTTTTTCTCCTTTTAGAGCTCGTACCAGGATACCTTGGAATTCCTAATGGCCAGTCGGGATTTTTGCAAGTCTTTCTGGAAAATCTGTGTGGAACATCATGCCTTTTTTAGACTTTTTGAAGAGCCCAAACCAAAGCCAAAGCCCGTTCTCTTTAGTCGAGGGTCATCGTTTCGGTTCAGGTAAGGATTCCAGCTCACATCTCTCCATGTACCATGTGAACATTTTTCCCATGACTTTCCTTTTCCTACTCCCTTTTGGAGCTGCTGTTCTTCCCAGTGAAGAGACAAGGTAGAAGTGCGCAGCCAGAACTGATGGCTACTGGGTGTTCGCTCAGTCTTCCCAGCAGGCACCAGGCAGACCCTTGCTGGATTCTGCTTGAACACAGTGGTTAGTTAGCCACGAGGTGGTCTACCTGCCACTCAACTCTTTAACGGGACTCTGTAATTCAGAGAGGATTTCCTTCTCTGTTGAAGCAAAAATGTCTCGTTAACATTTAGTGTAGTTTCACAGAATGCTATGCCAACTTGCCCATCATGGGTTCACTTTTTCACTCATTCTTTCAGCAAATATGTGTCTACTGCATGTAAAATCCTGTTCTAGGCCCTGGGGATATATGCTGAACAGAATTATCCCTACCATCACGAAGCATGGTAGGTAGATTCTCAGGATGGTTGCACAATAACCCACCACAAAATTATTAAGTGGTTTAGTTAACTGAACGTTTTCTGATGTTATAAGGGAAATATCAGGGACAAAGTGAACACAAAAGCACAGTTCTATTCGGATTGCTTTTATTCCTGCTTGCTGAGAAAATCCTAACATGCCCCAGTTATGGAAGGAGGGGATGTAAAGGTGATGAGTGTGGTATGTTTACTTAAATGAGGACACTGTGGTGTCTTCTCCCCTTTCCTCTCGTCATCTCTGCTTTAGTGGACGGACTCAGAAACAGGTTCTCGACTATGTTAAAGAAGGAGGACATAAGAAAGTGCAGTTTGAAAGGTAAGAGAAACTTCAATGCTACTTCCAGTTTGAGAGGAGTCACTCTCTCCAGATAAAATGCATGGCAGCTGAACATCCCTTCACCCAGACCTGGGAGTTATGGAATTGCCGCTGCATGGTCTGCCTCAGCCAGTTTGACCTTAGACAGGGACATTTGTGGGTTGGGGGCACTCCCCAAGGGTAAGATGAGATGAAAATAGAGTAAGAGGTCAAGTGAGGAAAAAGAGAAAGTGGCAGAAGGCAGGGATGGAAGAGGAACAGAGGACAGCAAGGCAAAGCACTGCAATCACAGGTACAGGTGACCCTTGAACAATGCAGGGGTTGGGGTACCAACTCCCGGGGGAGTCAAAAATCCATGTATAACTTTTGACTTCCCTCAAAACTTAACTACTAATAGCCTACTGTTGCCTGGAAGCCTTACTGATAATATCAACAGTCAATTAACACATATTTTATGTGTTATGTGTATTGTATTCTTATGATAAAGCAAGCCAGAGAAAGAGAGTTTTTTTCAGCTTGTTGCAAATCTCCAAAAAAAACTTTCCAATGTATTAATTGAAAAAACCCATGTATAAGTGGACCCATTAGCCCCCTACCCTGCACAGTTCAAACCTGTGCTCTTCAAGGTCAGCTGTATTTCCATAAACTTATTAAAATTTGCATGAGAAGAAACAGGATTTGTGGTGGTGGTTGTTAGCAAATGTGTATAGCTCTTACTACACGCCGGGCACTGTTCAAAGCTCTTTACATATATTACCTCATGAAGTCTTCATGCCAGCTCTGTGAGGTCAGCACTATATTTATTCCCATTTTAAAGATGAAGACACTGCAGCTCAGAGAGGCTGAGTAATAGCCCAGTTCTTAGTAAGTGAGCCCTGGTCAGCTGCTGTGGAGCCCAATGCCATTACACACTGTGCTCCACCCCAAGAGGGGAGAAGCAGAGATTCCAACAGGCTAAGATGAAAGTGCCAAGGACTGTTTAGTGTATATGGAGTTTTTAAAAATAGATATTTTTTCATTTCAATACATTTAAAAATTACAATAAAGTACAAAGAACACAACAAATACCCATACTCACACTACTTAGAATGTACTACTAACATTTTAATATACCTCTTTCTGGGTGTTTTTTTCTTCTTATGTGTAGCTACTGTTATTACAGACCTGGCCAAACTCCCTTAACCAACAGGTTTTGTTATTTCCCTTTTCCCCTCCCCAGAGGCAAGAGCTGCCAAATTCATGTTACTTCTATCATACATATTCATGCATCCAAAAAGAGTATGTATGATTGCTCTGGGATGTGCTGCTTCAGTTACATAGGCAATACTACACTGTATGTAATTCTGCATCTTGCTTTTTAAACCCTACCCTGATTTTGAGATCTGCTGTCTTATGGTATTATCAAAGTATTACATTTTATTTAGCTGTTTGAGCTTTCTTGGTAAACATTCAGGTTGTTTCGTGTTTTGTTTTCCTTTTGCTGAAACAACCTGCTGCTGGGACCATCCTTGTGTATTTCCCCTGATGCAGATCTGGGGTCATTGCTCCCTCCCTGTACCCAGAAACATAACGATCTGAAGGTTATTTGCCTGCTTATCTAGATGGAACAAACCCCATCATTTTCTTGATGATCCACAGTTAATCTTCTGAAAATCATGAGTAGTGGCCCAGGTCTCTCTTTGATTCAGAAAGTGGATACTGCATAGCTTTTGTGTATTTGGAGTATTTTAAAGAAAAGCTGGATGTATGTTGGAATTTGATCTCTCTATATTTACACAGTTCCATGCATTTGAGTTTCTGAAATTTTTCTAATGCTTTTTCACTGGGGAAGGAAGAGACCTGCAGACTAAGGAAGGGAAAAGATGCAGGAGAGGTGTAGTAACATGAAGGCCAGTCCCTCCTACTGTGAGTCCACAAATTCATTCACAGGGTGGGCCTTCTCCTCTGAACTCGGCACTGTGAAAGAGCTGATTAGTGGTAATTGCCTATATTTTACAACTGATCTAGAAAATCATTACCCAAAGACTGATTTTGTACTGTTAGTCCATAGAATGCAATTCAGAGCATACGTGGGCCCAGCCAACTGTTCCCTCCCAATGACCTTACCCATAATGAGGAAGTTGGTGCTCAGTCACTAGTGTTTCTAACCAGCTGCACCACTCTAACAGGAGGAGCACAGGGGATTGCTGAGAATTTGACCAAGGTTGCAGTAACCCCTGAACCCTACGAAGTTGAAAAGACGAGTCTGTTTCCAGGGAGCATTTACACAAACTCATTGGGTGCCCTCTTATCAAGGAGGGGTCTAATGCTGTTATTTTTCATTTAAAAAAAAAAACCCTCATCTAACTTCAGCTGTCTTACGTGATTTCTCTCAGGAAACACAGCAAGATTCATTCCATCGGAAACCTTGATCCGCAGCCTGCAGAGCTGAATCCAGAAGTGCCAAAACAAGTCAGTAATGGTGGTAAACTACCAGACCTGTTTTCCGCTCAACTTCCTTTGCTAAATACTGTGGTTCCTAGTATGTTTCTGAGTTTTTATCCTTCACCTTTGGGGTTTTTTTTTTTAATAGAGCAGAGTCTCGTGTGCCCCTGGTGGACACAGGCTTGTGCACCCATTCAGGGCTCAGCAAGCCCGGGACTGTGTGGCCTGTTTTAGCTGACTGCCCAGCGTCTGTTGCCTGCTCTTGCCACAGCAAAGTCTGCTCTGTCAGCTCGACCTCAGCTCGGGTGGGACCACCCCCAGGAGCCGGTAGAGCTGAGCCCACCCTCCAGCTGAATGGGTGCTGGTGCGCTTGTGTGAAAAGAACAAGACCTGGTTTGCAGCTGGTAGGCGTAGCTCCTGCTCTGTGCCAAGTTCAGAGCCTTCGGCTGGCCCAGGCCTGGGTGGCAAGTTCCCAGGGCTCTCGTTGCAGGGCAGTGACCACACTTGGCGACAAGACACGTTATCACTCCCTCTTCCTCTGAGGGCGGCAAGGGCTCATTTTCCCTGGAATCAGTTGCTGGATGTGTTTTCAGGGTTTTCTCTACAAGAGAATAAGAACTCTATTGGGGAAGAACATGAAAGACATTTCATCATGTGAATTTTAGAAAAAGCCCTTAACCTGTCCATTCTGCACTTAGAAATATAAGCAAAGACCCGTGTTGTCATTTGTCTGAAATCCGTGTCAACTAGCCTTCCTGGGTCCGTGGTGCGTTTTCTTCCTCTCGCTGCCGCCCTCCCTGGGAAGCCCCCTGTGGGCTACAGGGATGCTCCTGTCCCATAGAAACTCGGGACATGCGATGTCGGGCTGGGGGGCCTAGAAAGCAGAGACCGCGCGGCTGGATGCTGCTGGGGCGCCTGCAGCGGCCGCTCCCACGCTCTGGGGGCCGCCCTTTGGGCTGCCTGCAGCTTGGGGAGATGTTACTAAGTGAGACTGGTGCCTCCTTTTGGTGGGCGCTGGTGTGACCCTCCCCCTTTTCTCCTCCCCTCTCCCTGCCCCGGCCCCCGCCCTGCAGGCCCAGCAGAGTGCCAGCCTCACACCCGGAGAAGGTGCCGAGTCCCCCTGGGCCCAGAGCGGCCAGCCAGGACAGGAACTGAAAGCTGCCGCCGAGGAGTGTGGGCGGCCGCGGAGCCCCTCTCTGCAGAAGAGCCCCGCGGGTAACAAGAAGGCGGATGGAGCCGTCCAGGCGCCGGCCGAGGAAGAGGAGGAGGTCGTTAAGGATAGGACCCAGCAGAATAGAGCCCAGCCCCCGCAGCCAAGCACAGGTCCAGCATCCAGGGCTGCTAACGGCAGCAGCGCTTCCATACCTTTCATTGACTGCAGCGATGTAGATAGCGAGTGCGGGCTTCCCCGCGAGCCAGTGTCCCAGGCAACAAATGACAATTATGAGGGTGATTTGACCAGTGGTGTGTATCTGCTCTCTGGGGACGAGAGGCAGATAGAGGCTAGGTGCAGGGCTTCCCCTCCCTCTGCAAAGTACTCCCGGCCACCTTCCAGAGAATTCCTTGATGACGATTCTGCAGACATAACCTTTGATTTGAGTGGGAGCCCTAGACTCCCAAGACATAGCTCTCTGTTAAGTGAGATGTTCAAGGGCTCAGGTGGTCCCAGTCCCGTGGCCACCCCATTGTCTCCCAGCAGCAGAAGTTCAAGTCCAAATATGAGTTGGGACAGAACTGGGTCTCAAGGGTATGTTTCTGAAAATGGGCATGAGCACAGAGAGAGAAGTGTGGGAGAAAATATTCTCCCAAGCTGTGGTCCTTGTTATGAAAACTCTTCCCCCATCTCGCAAAGGCCCTACTTACGGAATCTTCCCAGTAGATACAATAAGTCAGAGACGGACCCCCTCATCCTTAGCCAGGTAGCATCAACCTCAGAGGCCATGGATGGGCTTGATGGTCTTGAGAAGGGAGGGCTGGCCAGCCTGGGTGCTCAGGAAGGTGGAGCGCTGGCCAATGGTGCACCTCTCGTGGGTCCCACCTCTGCGATCCTGGTCATGCGGTCGGTGTGTGCCAGTAGCATGGCGGAGCAGCTGGCACCCCTGCAGATGACCGAGGGCTCCACCAGCAGTGGGACTGAATCCAGCGATTCAGACTCGGATGTGGTGCCCCCTTTGGGCCAGCCCCTCGTGTTTGGTAATCCAGCAGTGCTGAGCTCCCCCTGCCCGCCCAGGAATAAGAAGTCCTTGGGTGGCCTGCATGTGGCCGAGGAGAAAGACGGGGATGAGTGAGGAGACCAGCTGAAGGTCTGCAAGTGTTGGGCACCTGGAGTGGTGAGCCCAGGGATTCAGTGGTGATTCCCTGATCACATTAGTTTTTAATCAACATTTGTTGGAGGGAGTATTGGACAGGCACATGCCTGGATAGGGGTTGCCTGACTTCTAAAATCTTTAAGAAAAACTTCACACAGTGGCTTGCTTTCCAGAAAAGGTGGACAAGACAAATAGCAAGACATAATGGCAAGTTACCAGGAACTTGTCTTCCTGGGTGAAGGCTAGGAAGAAATACTTTATTATGAATCTGATCATGTGCATAGAAGTGTATTGCATTTATGTGGAAATTTTCTGTGCATGTTCAGTTCCATATGTGAATCACGACCTGATTGGTTGGTTGGACTGAAGTTATCACTGAGAACCCAGGAAAGGTGTTGGTTTTACTTTTTTCCTCTTCTTTAAAAGGAGGACTGCTTCTCTGTGCCTCATAAACTGAGGAATTGACAAAATTCAAGGCCGAATGTTAGTTGATTTCTAGTTGAGATCAAGTGTTGATGAAATCTTAGTCAAGAATGATGAGTGTTTTCATGGGAAGAATTTAGAGTGACTGACTCCTTTCTGGACTTCATATGTAATTTTAAGTCGTGCAGTGGAGCTGTAATTTATGGGCATGCTGGTTTAGTTTGAGTTTTCATCGGTGGGTCAAACTGTTAACTATGTTTTAAGAAGCTGTAAGTCTAGCTGTCAGAATCTCTTAAGGGAGATGCAGAAATGCTACTGAGGATGATGCACAAGGAGGTGAGACCTCACAGTGGCCACTGTTGTCACCAGGGCAGCAAAATAAATGCCTGCCTTTGAGTCATTGCATGTCACAGAGAAGGACCATTTTCCAGCGTCATTGCCCGTGATTGGTTTTTATATCCACTCTTGTGAACAGTGTCTTCCCTTGGAAAGTGGCTTCTAGATGTTTCTCTGCAGGAAAAAAGAAAAGTGTAAATAATGAAGTTATATCTCTCTTTAAATCTTGCCCACCTGTGTCAGTGCCTTGTACCAGCATTCCTGCATTTTAGGTCAAAGAGTCTTGGTTTAAACTTGCTTGTTTTTCGGCCTTGTTTGCACATTGGAATCACCTAGGACATTTTAAAAATTAGTAATGCCTGGATTCAGACCCTAGAAATTTTTATCTTACTGGTCTGCATCACTTCTCAGCTAGACACAATTGCCTTCTAGAATCTAATGGAATGTGTTGAAAGGGTTAGCTGAATTTTTGGCTTGCTAGCAGAGTAAGGAAAGCATCACAAATGAAATGCTTTTTCTTAATGCCTCTTATTTGGTATTTTTCAGTCTTTGGTACATTTTTTTAAAAGATGAATTGTGTGATCAAATTTTTAGATCCTCAGTAACTACAAAATTATTGAAGAGTTGTAGCAGTGACATATCCCTGATATGCCACCGTGGCAGTGGCCTTGCTGAACTGATCATGTGACTTTATCACAAGGAAATAGCTAAGCCTGTTTAGAAAACGGAGTAGAATTTGGCAGCAGTGTGTAACAAATACAAGTACTGATGGATCCTGTGGTTCACAAGTGATTATCTGTCCACATGAATGTCGACAAGTTGGTTTTAAAGATTCTGGAGACTTAATCCATTTTTATATAAATTTCTTTGTGATGTTCTTAGTCATTTGATTCAGTGCATGGTTAATGAATCAAACTGATTATTGGATAGTTTGAAAGATGTTCATTGAAGTAGTCTATGTATATCTTGCTTTAGATTTGTATGTTTTAACAGAGTCACAGAATTTTAAAACTAGAAGGGACCTGAGATGTCATCGAGGGTAAACCTTCATTTTATGGACGGGAAACCTTGTTGTGACCAAGTTGAACTTTCACATAGTCATACGGCGATTACACGGCCAGGCTGAAACCAGAGCCGTGATCTCTAGGCTTCAGCTTTTTACTCTGTGTGACATCTTGCTGCATCAGGACTTTTTTGATTAAGTTCTTTAATTTTGGAGAACCTTGTGTGGATTAAGAATTAAAATCATATGTGGAGACCAAGTATCATGTAGACTTAGGCAAGTGCAGTCCTTAATAGGTAGGGAGAACTGCTTTTCAATATTGTGGGGTTTTTGCAGATTCTGCTTTGGACATAGAAAAAAATGTCTGTCTGCTCAACAAAAATGTAGTCAAATGTGAGTTGAGCAGAATGACACTTGGAATACTGTGGGCTGTTTGTGAAGGTGATTTGTCCCAGTGAATTTTCTCTTTACCTCTAATTGTACAGCAGTCTGATAATGAAATATGAACAATACCTATTGTAGTATTATTACTTAGCTTACACAGGTATTAGCTTACACAGCACATAATGCAAATCATCAAGAATAAACCTTCAAGGCAAAACATTCTCCGGTAATTATTTCATTATGCTTTTTTGCTAAAGGAGTCATTTTTATGTTTTAAAAACAGCCAAACAATGATAGTGTACTCAGTTCTATATTGACAAGATATTCCATTTTTAGGGTTGCTCATAGAGCTTTCCTCTGGTTACTTTTGTACCAGCCGAGCAACTCAATTTCTGCTACTCAGCTAGTATTTATGAAAGCAGCAATCCTGGTGTGATTAAGGATCCTTATGAAACTGGGTGGGGAGCGGGTATAGTTTGCTCAAAAGCCACATAATCCTGAAGTGCTGAGAATATTCACTCGTTGCCTCTGGGGAGCTTGCCCTGCCCTAAGAAAGATTCTGAGCAGTGGTGGGAGAGTAAACAAGCATTCTTTGAGCCCTTCCGGTGGAGCCGGTTCACTGAGGTGACATGGCCTGTCATTGCACAGAGGTCAGGGAGAGCAAACAGCCTCCCACCTTCCATGCCCTCTGGCTTTTGTGAGACTCTGTCCCCACGTAGTTACCTGGCTTCCTGAATCTTGCTGTGTGGCATACAGCACGCATGCACAAGCATAAAGACTGCTGGAAGCCAGGGCTGAGGTTGGGTGTGAAAAACAGGTAGCAGCGATGAGAGACCTGGGCACTCATTCTGATGTCTAAAGGATTTCCCAAGGTCTGTCAGCCGGTTTTTCTAAGCCAGTAGCTAGTGTAGAGGCCTGATTCAGCAAGGAATGCGGCTTCAGCTAAGGCTGCTTTACAAAATGGTATCTCAAGGCCCTGAGTAGAGGACAAACCAGGTATCTTCCAGCCACTCAAGGGCTACACCAAGGCCTCCTTGCATTAAGTTAGATAGTATTTCAAAATATGTAAATTGTAGGCCCCTTCCTGGTTGACTCTGTTGCTGCTTGTTTGGTGGGGTGGGGGGTGCAAAATAAAATGCAAGAGATTCTTTTAGCATGAAGGAATGCATGGAATGAGTTGCAGAACGTAAAATGAATTGCCCCAGATCCTCTAACAATCATCTGTATGCCATTGGCGATACTTTATTAGACCGGCATTTAATGGAAGTCTGTGGGCTAGATTCTTCCCCGTATATGTGATTCATATTTGGGAATTTCTCACAGATTTAAGTGCGTGGCCTGCACTTAAAATGAATGGTTCTGATTTTATTCTCAAGAACTTCTTTGAAGATTCCAACCAAGCAGTGCTAAGAAGCTAGGCCAGCAAAACTAAAATATAGCACGAGCCTCTTAGACTTCCCACCAGGTAGGCAAAATCCAGTCTGTCCACCCTTCCTGGTTGACTCTGTTGCTGCTTGTTTGGTGGGGTGGGGGGTGCAAAATAAAATGCAAGAGATTCTTTTAGCATGAAGGAATGCATGGAATGAGTTGCAGAACGTAAAATGAATTGCCCCAGATCCTCTAACAATCATCTGTATGCCATTGGCGATACTTTATTAGACCGGCATTTAGTTAATGGAAGTCTGTGGGCTAGATTCTTCCCCGTATATGTGATTCATATTTGGGAATTTCTCACAGATTTAAGTGCGTGGCCTGCACTTAAAATGAATGGTTCTGATTTTATTCTCAAGAACTTCTTTGAAGATTCCAACCAAGCAGTGCTAAGAAGCTAGGCCAGCAAAACTAAAATATAGCACGAGCCTCTTAGA